AGGCAGGATTTGAACTCAGGTCTTCTTAAGTCTGGCTAATCACTAAACCATCTGGAGTAGGGAGAGTGGTATCAGTGTGCTTACTTCCATAGAGGAAACTCATTCACTTTCCCTATGGCAGCAGGTTGTGCCTCTCATGAGTGATACCACAAAAAAAGCATGAAAACGGTGACCTTCCTTGACAAATGGAAAACCCCAAGCTGTCTTTGACACATCTGCTGTAGGTCACTAATCCTCAATCTAGTCCCACAAGATAAATAAGATACAGTGTTGTTACATATGCTGAAGTTATTTTCCTGTAACTGTCCTATGGGCTTCATATCCTAACCACAGAAATCACTGTAATGGAAGGTTGCTTTTCTACTCAATGTTGTTTATTGTAATTCATATCACTGAGGGTGGGGAGAAAAAGTTTTTGACCATATGAACTCTTTGCCTTTTGAGTGACTTTCCATTCCCCAAAGCTCAGTTCAAATTGACAGTGTCACTTCCTCCACAACAACTTGGCAAATCTCCATGTCAGTGGTGACCTTTCACTTTCCAACTTCTTATAACACTTTGCATCTCTCATGTATTTATCATGTTTTGTTTTGTATTCAATATATGTGATATATGTAATATAGCCCCCTATTTAACTATAGGTCAGATGTCTTACCTAAACCCAAGTCTCCCAAAGTATCTAACCCTGGTAAAGGATATATAGAAGGTGCATATAGAAGGGGACTAATAGTTTGTTAAATATCTTAAAATATAAAGTTGCTGCTCATGGATCTTTAGGTGAAAAAATACGTTTTTTCAATCAGGCATTACTCCTCTTTTCTTGATTTTGCTTTTCTGGATCTCTGCCTACAATTTCTTTTAATCTATTTTTTCTCCTATTTAGTGAGCTGCCAACACTTGTGGCATTTCCACGTGTCTCAGGTGTTTATGTAGATAATTGTTCAGTCAATCTGGCTCTGGTCCCAAACTTCCTATCTTTCTTCCATGTGCAAATAGTTTCTTCTTGGACTTAAAGTATTACGACTGAGTAACATTTCTATTTCATGGAAATACTTCATCTTCCATATTCAAATTTTCTAAGCCTATTGAAGTTGATTGACCTAGTTCTTAAAGAAAGTAAGCTAGGAAGTAGTTTCCTAGTTTGCATGGAAAAAAAAAGCAAAGTATACTAACATTTTAAAATTGAAGAAAGGTCTGCCCAATAGAGCAAATACAGGTATTCTTGTGGGGTTTTCCTCTACTCCTGTCATTTTATTTTCATATAATTACAAATGTTTTAAACCCAATTTAAAATTAGTTTTTCAAAATATTGTCTAGTTGGTTTGGGAGTCTCAAAAAGATTATGGGCCTGAGTCAGGTTAGAGGAATCGTGTTAAGTGTTTCATGGCTTCATGGTTTGAGGGCTAATGGAATTTATACAATGATACTATCTATTCATGGTGAAGATGTATGTTGCAGCAAAGCAAAGGCATTTCAAAAATCTGTGAAATGTCATGTGAATTATCAGTATTATATGAGCATGGAAACAATCATTTACATTTCTATATAAATTTCAGGTTTTTGCTACCATAAGTTAAGTTGTATCCCATTATTTTATGACCCTACCAACTAAGATTTCAGGATCCAACATTTTTGTTATTAAAAAAAAAACCTAATGTCACATCGTAAAATTTTAAAACATATTTTGGTAAGAATATATAACTATATATATTTCTATATCTGTATCTATTTTATCTCTATCTCTATCATCCATCCATCCACCCATCCATCTATTTATTAATCTATCATCTATCTATCTATATCACAGACACTAAGACCTAGGGCACAGGAGAGGATAACAACCGCCCTCCAGGTTGTCACTGATATTTTACTTTCTCTATCTTTGGCTCTCTATCCCCCTAACCATACTAGTCAGTTTCTCTTCCTATTATCCACAAACACATCATCACTTGGTAACATTCCTTTCTGATATTCAGTTATACTGTGTCTACAAAATTTTGTTCATCTGTTGTTTTCTTAAGCCTTAAAAGAGGAAATGAGGTTAGTGTGACATGACTTGCTATGACTAATCATGCTGTCTCTTAATAATTGTTGCTTTCCTTTTTAAATACTCACAAATCATCCCTGTAGTGATATAATTTAGAAGTCCACTAGAAATCCAAGTCACACTCATTGGCTAATTCTACCTTCATTTTTGGGGAAAGTAAGTCATTCGCCCCTTTGCCCAATGACACCTCTTTTCTGTACATTTTTTCAGGAACCACCAATACCATTTAAATTCTAGCTCTATGATCCTGTGATTCTATGCACTACAAGTTTTTTTTTCCCATACCTTGGAATATAGTTAACTGAGATTAGTGATATGAAACTCTGCCAGCAGAGCAACTACATAGTGGATAGGGTATTGGATTTGCAGGGTGGAAGACTTGACTTTGAATTGTGTCTTTACTACTTACTAACTGTTATGACACAGGACAATTTTGTAAGACTCAGCTTCAGTTTGGTCATCTCTAAAATGAGGTAATAATGTGATCTACATCACAGGTTGTTGAGAAATCAAATAATGATATAGAAAAAGTGCCTTGCAAATTTTAAAGCAATATGAAAATGTCAGCCATTATTACTATGTCCATAATTATCTTGGGTTTTAATTCACTTTGGACCATTTTCATCCTGCCCTTCCCAATCTGAAGATTGTTCCCTTCATAGGGGAAACAGAAAAAAAAACTGAACATTTGAATAGTTTTGCCCTCTCTCTGTCATTCATAATCATCATCTCAATTTTGAGTGATAGCCTTTTCCCTACTTTAATCTTCCTCTTATCTCAATTAGGGTTTTTTTTAGTGTTTTTTTGTCTTTAAAATTTATTGCTAGGCATAGTTAATGCTGAGGTTTACAACTCCTGAGACTGCTTTTAAACGACTAGCATTCCTCATGCTTTTGCCTTCCCATACTGCTAGCTTTTATATGTTTATGAATATATAAAATGCATGTCAAATTTTCCCTTTAGTTTCCAAAAATTCCAAAATGGAGTTGCAGTGATTGTTCTTCCCAATGCTCCTCTACTTTTGAACTTAGCAACTAGTCACTTTTTATTGTACCAAATCAGATCAAGTATAACAGCTCCCTTCTTCCTTTACTTCCTTTTTTTTGGTGAGGCAATCAGGGTAAAGTGACTTGTCCAGAGTCACACAGCTAGTAAGTGTCAAATGTCTGAAGTCAGATTAGAACTCAGATCGTCCTAACTCCAAAGTCAGATCTGTATCCACTCTACCACCTAGCTGCCCCTCTTCCTTTACTTCCCAATGTAAAGCATGAAGGGAACCGCTATACTTGATCTGATTTTAAAAAAAATATCTGATTAAAACAATATCACTAAGGGGCAGGCTAAACATGTATCAGTTGATCTGCTATTAGCAAAGATAGAGCTCCAGTAGATGTCCAGATAGATGAAATCCCCAAATCCCTACTATAGCACATTTTGATATCAAGTTAATGCTGTGTTTCCTGAATACATAGTTAAATTCCTTCTTCTGGTTGAGTAGTCTCTATTAAACTCCAACCACAAAATCTCTTGTTTCTTCTTTCATTGATCTTTACCTAAATACTCTCTTCTCAGATTTCTTCTTTTGGTTAGTAGATTTGTGTGTGTGTGTGTGTGTGTGTTATATCTATATTTTATGTACAAGAGTACTCTAGGAGGCAGCTAGGTGGCTCAGTGGATAGAGTGCTGGACCTGGAGTGAGGAGGATCTGAGTTCAAATCTGGACTCAGATACTCGCTAGTTGTATGACCCTGGACAAGTCATTTAACCTATGTTTGCCCTAATCCAGAAGGAAATGGCAAACCACTCCAGTATCCCTGCCAAGAAAATCCCATGGACAACATGGTCCCAGGGGTCACAAAGAGTCAGGCACAACAACTCCTCTTCCACATCTTTTGTCTCATCTATTCCTTTGCAAGAAGTTATGTCCTCTATAAACATATTCTTGGCATGAGTCACATCTGAATAGAGTCTTGTTAATCTTTATAAAGCCAAATTTACCTTCTTACATTGAAATCTCAAGTTCTTTTCTATTCCTCACACTCTGCACAATTTTATATAGATATATAAGGCAAGGGGATTTATCACTGACCCTTTTTTAATACTATTTCTTGAATATTACTGTCTCATCACTAGAAGTATTCAGAGGTTGGTTAACTACCTGCTAAAAATGCTATACAAGGGAAAGAGATATGCACTGGACAGTTGTTAGAATTAGATAACTTCTTAAGCACTTCCAGCATAAACAGCTCAGGGAGCAAACGCCCTAGAATTATGGAAATTTTTCATCAATAATTTATAGGTAAAATCGAAGGGAATTGAGTAAAATGTTTTTTTTTCTTTTGAAGTTCTTGAGTGTGGCATTTTTTCCCCGGTGTTAAGAATGAAAATCTGTCAGCACATGCATTTGTGTATAAATGCCACAAAAAGGCAGTTTAAAATGTGTGAGCTTAAGATTAGTCTTCTTTGCAATAATTGCTGTGTAAAATGGATTAGAGAAGAGAAGGGGAAATAGATCTGTTGGTTAATTTCTAGATGCAGAATGGAATGAATGCAACATTACTTACAGCAAAGAGAAGACTACCCAAATAGGCATCTCTTAGAAGCAAATGAGATTTTCTATAGCTCAATAGCACTGCTGTTGAGAGGATTAGAAGGAAGTTAACATTCTGGTACTCTTTTCATTGATTTTTTTCCTACTTTCTTCACAACAAAAAGAAAAAATATGACTTCTTATGCCTCTAAAACTTTCCAGTACACTTGACATTGATGAAAATAAATAAAGACATCTTTCCTGGGTTGGCATATTAAATACATTCACATAATGAATCATTTTTCATGCTTTGAAATGAAATATATATATATGTATCTCCATGTATCTCACTTTATGTAAATATATATAATTAACTTGTCTTTGTATAATGATCACTCCAACATAACTTTTATTTTTCAACAGACAACAAAGATTATGATGCATATTTATCATACACCAAAGTGGACCCTGACCAATGGAATCAAGAAACTGGGGAAGAAGAAAGATTTGCCCTCGAAATTCTGCCTGATATGCTGGAAAAACATTATGGGTACAAATTGTTCATTCCAGACAGAGATTTGATCCCTACTGGAAGTAAGTTAATTGTTTTAAATTCTTTATATATTGGGAATAGGGGTATGTCTGTATATGTGCATGTACATAGGGATTTATTGTTTGGTATGATAATCTTCTATTCATTCTAAAATATTTATTTGGGGGCAGCTAGGTGGAGTAGTGGATAGAGCACAAGCCCTGAAGTCAGGAGGACCTGAGCTCAAATCTGGCCTCAGACCAAATACTTGACACTTACCAGCTATGTGACCCTGGGCAAGTCACTTAACCCCAATTGCCTTAAAAAAAGTAAAAAAATAAAATAAAATATTTATCTGTAATATGTCTAACAAATAGAATTAATAAATAAATGTTCCAAACAAAATTATAAAAATAACAATAATAATTTTGAAGGACTACCTCCATAACTCCACAAAAGGCATATTAAACCTCAGCATTAAAAAAACATAATCAAATAAGAGATTTATATTTTCTAGCAATATTTCTATCCCTTTCAAAAGTTAGATCAGTTTAAATGAATTTGTGTTTCGTGGTCTAATTTCTGTACTCTGATATTTACTGTTTATTTCCTTCTTTCTAAAGTAAACAGTTCCACCCCTGATAAAAAGGGAGAGGACAGAATTAACTTGAGTGAGATCTGTCTTGCAGACAGAGTTTGTGGACACCCAGCTCTCTGGGCCAAGTGTTAGTCTTACTGATTCTGAGAGACCATTATTCTATTTTCTAGCATACATTGAAGATGTGGCAAGATGTGTGGATCAAAGTAAGCGGCTGATTATAGTTATGACTCCTAATTATGTGGTAAGAAGAGGCTGGAGTATCTTTGAACTTGAGACCCGACTTCGAAACATGCTAGTCACAGGAGAAATTAAAGTGATATTAATTGAATGTAGTGAACTCCGAGGAATCATGAACTACCAGGAGGTGGAAGCTCTAAAGCACACCATTAAACTCCTGACGGTTATTAAATGGCATGGACCAAAATGCAACAAGTTGAATTCGAAATTCTGGAAACGTTTACAATACGAAATGCCTTTTAAGAGGATAGAGCCCATTACCCATGAGCAGGTATTAGATGTCAGTGAGCAAGGGCCCTTCGGGGAGCTGCAGACTGTCTCAGCGATTTCCATGGCTGCCGCCACCTCCACTGCACTTGCCACTGCCCATCCAGATCTGCGTTCCACGTTTCACAACACGTACCATTCACAAATGCGTCAGAAACACTATTATCGAAGCTACGAATACGATGTACCTCCTACCGGCACCCTGCCTCTTACCTCAATAGGTAACCAGCATACCTACTGTAACATCCCTATGACACTTATCAACGGACAGCGGCCGCAGACAAAATCCAACAGGGAGCAGAACCCAGACGAGGCCCACACAAACAGTGCAATACTGCCGCTCTTACCAAGGGAGACCAGTATATCCAGTGTGATTTGGTGACAGAAAAGGAAGGGGCGACCTTGTCCCTTGGAGTAGGAGCTGAGTCTGCAGTCCAGTGCCTGGAACTACATCCTCGACTGCTGCTGTTAAAACATGCATTACAATCCATAAAATACGAGGAAAAACAGGGTCTTGTACATATGTTTTTTGCAATTTATTTGTAGCATCAGTGTCTTCCTGTTTTACCATGTCTCTTGCCATTACATTTTTTGACTTTGTTTTATACGTCATTGGAATTTGTATATTTACATTTTTTAATGAAGAGACTGATGTATAGATAGGAAACCCTTTTTGCTTCATTAGTATAATTTTAGAATGGGTTTGATTTCTTTCTGTTTGGGCTTTTTTTTTTAACATTTCTTTGGAGTGCTTGGACAAAGCTATTTGATGGGACAAGGACCACCATATCCACTTTGCTGTTCTGCCTAGCAACAGCAAGGCCGTGTTGGCCTTCTGAGTGCAATACAACGGAAAGGCCAAAATTCCAATTCAGGAAACAGTTGTGGAGAACACTTGTTCATAGGAGGGCCCCACCAATCAGAGCCCTGAATCTCTTCCTTGTCCTGCCTCATCCCCACCTCTACCCTTCTATTGTCAGCATGGTGTGTGACCCTGCAGAATGGGAGGGGGTGGGTCTAACTGTCTTAACATTTAACTCACTGCTTGTCAAATGACACTCCAGACCCAAATGTCTACCAATCACTTTACTGTGACCATTGCTGAGTGCTAAGAAGATAAGATCAAGGGCAGGGGTGTTGTTTTGTTTAAAAATGAGTTGATGTACCCTTATATATATAAAAAAAAAATCAACCTATATTTGATCACTTCCTGGAAAGGCATGAATGTGTTTGTGGCTGTTTTTGTTTCAATATTCAACTCCCTTTTTTCCCCTTTAATTTTTTTCTGCAAATGAGATTATGTGCAATTGCCAGGCAAGTCAGTCAAAAGAGGAGAATTGACATAAGTCATAATGAGATTTATATTGATGGCTTCCAAACCAAAGGGAAGGACTAGGATGTTATCAAATATGTTTTGTCACATTGTATTATACAAATTGTTATTTTCTAAACAGTAAGAGCAAATCTTTGCAATCTATTATGGAGTCCCCTTGTATTTAAATGTTAATTCACTGTATTTACTTTTTAATGCTACATTCAGAATCGAGCATTCTTACTTCCTTTGTTTCCGTTTGTAACAATAAGTAAAAAAAAACTTTATCAATTTCAAGGTGATTTAAATGAGAACTCAGGAGGTTAAAACATGAATATTAATGAAAATCAATGTTTTCAAAATAAACAGTATTTATAGAAAAGTAAACATTAAATCAGACCTAAAAGTGTTTAAAACAATTAATTCTACTGAATAAAGAATTAGTTTTATTTTAAATGTATCATTCTATCTTTCAGAAACACAGAAAGCTTGTTCTAATGCTCCCAGAAAATCCATTTTATATAGTTCAGCTGTGTCTGAAATAAAGGATATAAGCTGCTAATTCATATTCATGTTTTGTACTACTAAATAAATAAATAAATGAAGTCTATTGTAAAAGAAACTGCAGGGGGCAGAATTATAAGAAAACATTCCCTATGGGATTTTTTAGTTTTTTTAAAAAAGTACAGCACTGATAATAGGGTTTTAACATTAATTTAGTGATTCATCGTAGACATTTTCATTACTGTCAGCAAAGGCTGACCAGTGCAATGGATGTTGTATTTTTTTTATTTATTCTTACTCTCAGTATAAAAAAAATAACCACTCTAATGTTTTGGTCTCATTAGTAAGATGTTATTTGATCAGAAAGAAAAGTAAGCTACAGTGTAGTTCCTAGGGAATGGGGCAAGGGCCTATTGAAAATGTATGAAAAATGACAATGAACATGATGTAAAAGTCCAAAGGATCCTGGTACCCGCATAACAACAAGATAAAGGTGCTATGGGATGTTCAGTAGTTTTTCTTTGCCTAAAAATGTTTATTTCTCTAACAATTCGCTTGGGTGCTCCTCCAGTCTGTTCTTTATTTCCATGCATTCCCCCTGGACATGTGCCAAATTTCAACAGAATAGACCTGAAGCTGCCAGGACAGATAAAATTTAAAGTCAGCTTTGCACATGTGGTTATTTTCAGACTCTAAGAAGGCCATTATTTTCTTGATATTATGGACACCTGTCAGGAACTGATGGCATTTAACTTCATTGGACTGGATCCCAAAATCTCCCAGTACCCAGATAACCAAAAACACTGCACTACCTTTTTTTTTTAACTGAAGATGGAAGTGTGAAAAAAATGTAGAGAAAATGATCAGACCACAATCACATTTTAGGCATCCACAAGTGTTTATTTAGCTGCATTGGGAGTATATTTTTGTTCTATTTTTAGCACTTTGAATAGCATGATTCAGGGATTGATGGGTAATATTTGATATTCTCACAACTTAAAAGTTTATTTTTCCTCGAATGTGCTGTCATATTATGAAACAAAGGAATGAAATAAACAGAGAAGAAGCTATTGATGGCTTAAGAAACATTCCTCCCAAAATATTCCTCTTCTATCAACAGCTTGTGTGAGAACAAGTGAAGGAAACTGTCATGTGTTCACGTGCTCAATGTTTGACAAAAGTTCTGTTAGAACTCACAATAAAAAGAGAAAAAAATGTATTTTCCCTAGTGATTAGGCTCTATCCTTTTTCTTGGGTGTGGGTGAAAGAGGGAAGATAGAGGTTTTCCTTAGTTATAAAAATAGAGCTGAAACTGTGGATATAATAGTCAAGCTAGGGGGAAAAGGAGAAGGGGAGAGGGCACAGGAGACAGGAGAGGAGAGGAGGGGAAGGAAGAAGAGAGAGAAACTCCCTAGCACATAGTATGCTGATCTTGAAAATGTGAGATGACTATATCCTGCTTTTCCTCAGTTGCTGCTCCAACTCTTGTTGGCACTATACAGATGCACAACTCCTCTTTCTTAAATACAGCTTCTGTCTTCCTTGCTCCCAGTAGCCTTTTCGACTCCTTCCTAGTTATCTGACCTGTTGGAGTGTAGTCAGCATGCACCTGATTCTTTTGTGGCTCTGAAGAGTAGAGAGGCAGCCAGAACATGGTATTTCCTTCAGCTGAATTATTGATGGGCAAGTATGTGGTATTTATGTTACCTCTCTCTAAAGAAAACCCAAGTAATGGATTTGTATTTCCAACTATCCCCAAGTCCTCTTGCATTTCTGCATCATCAGCATTTTATGATTTTTACTTTAAGCTTCTGTTACTGTATTTCACTGGAAGGTGTTTTGCTTTGGCATGGCTTTACTTTTAACTCTCCAGATGCTGCTTTCTTGGCTGCTTCCATGTTCATCAGCTCTTTTAAAAAAGCAAAAACATGAGAGCCAATACTCATGCTTTGTGTTTTAATAATATTGCTCTCAGATATTATGTATACTAATTTAGCTAAACTTTTCCCATAACAAGAACAAAAAACTCACCTTTTTCCCTGGAAAAGTTACCTATTTTCTTTCTGTAGCCAGTAGGGTTGTAGAAGGCCTTTCTAGTCACAACGTAATCTATTTTGGGGAGTGTGTGCTTTGTTTGCTTTCCTTTTAAATTCGGGTTACATCTTTATAGGTTAATTTTTTTTTGAAAATCAAAGGAAAAAATACACTTTCTGTGAGTGGAAATAGGAGGGAATTGCCTTTGGCATTTTTTAGTTCTGTTAGGAACCTACTTTGGCATGGTGGAATTTGTCAATTTAATTGATCTATCTAGTCATTATTTCCTTTGATTTCCCTTTCCCTTTCCCAAATACTCTTCCCTGAAAATCACTCCCTTATATGTGTTTTCTTCCCTATTGTAATATAAACATTTTGAGGACAGGGAAAGTCTCATTTGTTATATTTATATTTGTACTTAGCATAGTGCCTAGCACATTGTAAGTGCTTAATATTTTTTCATTTATTCATTCATTTGATTTACCTGGTTCCTAACCTTAACAGTAGAGTCATGTTATTTAAATAGATAGGAAACCCTGTATAAAACCATATATTCCATGTATACCTGAAGAAATTTTCAAATAGTAACTTATGGTCATAGAGAAAGTGACAAAATTTTGTCCCCTTCAATGAGAATTTTAACAAGTTATGATTTATTCATCATCTATACTGTGGAGGTAATAAAAAGTGTGAATAACTCAAAACTAGAGTATAATCTGAAGGTCACTTATGTTTAGTTTTGATATGTAGTCAGAGTTCTACACTCAACCACTATCACACCAGTACACACACACACACACACACACACACACACACACACACACACACACACACACACACATTGCCTAGCTAATTCCTCACTCAACTTGACCTCCCTATATTGGAAGCCTATAATCTAACTGACTAGTACAAATATTCCACTCCCAACTGAGGATTCATTTTTATGATTATCACATTTTCTAGTTTTCTTCACACATCAACAGGAGATGACTCCAGTTGGAAGAAATAGAACCTGTGTGATTTGGCAACAATGCCTTATTTCACACAACCCTTTTAAAGATTGTGAATTCTTATTTCTCCCAAGCAATTTTAAGAGACTTTCTGGTAAAAGAAGAGGATAAACAAACACTAAATTACTGGTAGGTTTTTCCAGGGGTGTCTGCATTTTCGGAAGATGGGAACTAGATTGCTGTCTTCTTCATGTCCTCCTATGCAGTCCTATCAGTGGAGATGGGCCAGTTGCAGTTTCCTGACTTTTAAAGGAAATCTGTGTGAGTATGTATATTTTAGAGAATGAAGTCAAGTGACATGGTGGTTACTATGAATACTCTTGTTTTCATTTCATCTGTGACTGACAGCAAGGTAAAAATGTATATTACATTAACAAATTGAGTGGGGAAGATTTCAATCAGCAATATGAATTCACATAATGATGTTTGGAGGAATGAAAGATGATTTTAGCAAATCATGACCCAGTAAAAATGAATCCCAATCTGTTTTGTAGCAAAAGATGCTAGCACTAAACACTGACTCAACAGTAAAACAAGAATCAGTCTTTTTGATAAACACAGTTCTCCCCTCCAAGCTGAGAAGAGTGCAAAGCAACACTATATCTCACATTGATGTAGAAAAATACATAGGGAAAAAACCATTTTTTCTCCTCAAAATTCTTCCTTAAAGCCAGTAATGTCTGGGGTGACAGCTAAAGTCATTTTTCTAATGTTTCTGCAAAAGCAATAACAATAGAAAACTGGCTGGCTTAACATAGACAATGTGCTGAAACCAGGAGAAAACATTAGATTGTGAGCTCCATGAGAGCAGGAACTGTTTTTGCCTTTCTTTGTATCCCCAGAACTTAGCACAGTGCCTGGTACATAGTTGGTGCTTAATAAATGCTTGTTGACTTGACTTGAGCATCTCTCTGGACCTGCCTCTCTGATCATACTTTTCCATGAATTCATGTAACTAAAAATGTGGGATTAGAATTGCTTCTCTTAAATAATCTAAAAGAGGGTATGCTTTTGTTCCAATATGGAGGCAGAATCATATTAAATATATAATTAACCTATAGATATCAAATATTTTTATTATATGTTAACTATGCATATTAAGTATTTAATGAATGTGATAGAACTTTCAGTCCACATGACATATGACCTAGTGCATTTGTGGTAATTACAATTAATTAATAATAATATTCCATATTAGAGCATTTAGCTAATGATTTGATTTCATTCTTACTACCTAATAAGATTTTAAATACACAAACAAATGAGTCAGTATTGTGAAGTGGAGAAGCATGGAAGCAAAGCTTTTGGGTTCTTGTCCCAGTTTTACAATTATGTGGTCAATTCATTTTACCTCCTTACTCCTCTATGCCCTTACACATATATAATGAGGGGATTGGATCAAATTATTTATATGGTCTTTTATAGCTGTTAATTCTATGACCTATATTTACAGTGCTTTCATTGGTTTAACATCTGTGTGTGAAGACGTATCTTTCCAATAGCATAAATAGGTCACTGTCTTTATCTCACAAGGACAGCTTCTGAAGCTTTTGCATTGATTAAGATTATTTGGATACATTTCTGCACAGATAAGAGTTTGTTTGCAATGGAAGAGATAATGATACTTATATTCAACATTTCCTACAGAGGTATAATCCATGAAAAATTACTACAACAGGAAAGCCAAAAGTGCCTTGAAACTGCCTCAGAATGAAAACATTTGATATCCTCACCAAATAGAGAGATACAGTAGTTAAGGATTCAGTTCAGACTAAACTGAAGGGAAAGATTATGAATAGTATTGCTTCATAAAACAGTGTGAAGTTATAGAAGAAAAGTAAATTTACACAAAGCTTGGTGTAAGACCAGATTGTCCCAAGAGATTTTCAAGAATGAAACTAGAAGGAAGAGAACAATGGACAAAAATTAAAATGATGTGTTAAGCTTTCTTTTGCAAACTATTTTCTCCATCAAAGGTAGTAGAATCATTACATAGAAACCCTAATATGACAGTCTTTTATGTTCGGCATGAGGAGGTAGAAATGTCATTAATATACAAAGGAGATGAATGCTGCAGAGGACTTAATTTTGAGGGCGTTCAGAGACTTATTCTGAAGATATCTTAAAGAGGGTGAGATACAAATATAAGGTTAAAAAATCTACAGATGTCATTATAACCTTAAAAAAGGAAGAAGAGGAAATAAGCAAGTAATTATCCATGCTATTATTTTATCATCTCTTCGAAAATTTTCATGAGAATAATCTCTAGTGGTATTGAGAGCACTCAGTAAAAATTTTAAAAGGAAAAGGTAAGTTTTCATAACTTATATTCTATGGTAGACCACATATTTATCTGTAATTGATTGAAAAGAATAAGAAATTCTAGATTTCACTATTTTTTTTGTTTGTTGATTATTAAAAGTAAAAAGCATTTGATTTTGTAGAGGAATATGGAAACACAAAGGATATTCTCATCAAAGGTTTATCCCACACTAATGTTAAGATTATATAAGATGCTATTGTAGATATGACAATATAGCTAATGTTGTATTCTGAACTTCATATTATTAATATAAATTAAAGCATAAAACAGAGAGATAAATTCTTAACAAAAGTGTTAGTTACTGTCATGGACGATGACCAGTATGGAATCCAAAATAGAAGAAACATTCCCTATAGATCAAAAGTTCCTCCAAATGTTCCTGTTTGCAGATCACTTGTGATGATTATATTAAGTAATAAAATAATGTAGAGCTTTCTAGGTGAGATCTAAATTTATTCAAACATAGAATAAAAAAAACAATTATCAAAGAAAACCAATTATTTCAACTCTGCAATCCATTTGGATGGTCAGCCCATTAGTACATATTTCTTAGGCAGTTATTGACCAACATCCATAAATTGAATAAGAAGAAAAGAGCAGGCTAGATTCCATTTGCAAAATTCAGTGATCCTAGACATCCCCTCAAAACGATATTGTTTGAGATGAATGAGTTTTATTGGTTATGCTATGTTGCTTTGAATCACAGATAACCAGAGTCTCCAAAGAACAAACAATTTAGCTTTCCAATAGGCAGTGTAGAGATACATGGTGGACACAGGTTATGCCTAAGAGATAAGCTCTGCACACAAAGCAACATAAAAGGTTAATAATGTAGCAAGGTCAATTCAGTAAAGCAATATTGAAACTCACAATTCAACATTGAAACTATATTGAAACTCACAACATGTTGTGCATCCAGAGCTACTCCATTTTGAGAATCACTTCATTTTGTTCACACATATATGTCTTCACTCTTTCATCAGTGCTTACAATTCAAGTAACCTAAATGAGAACATGCCATGGTTTTCTGTTTTGCAACCTATTTGAGAAACAGCCTAGGCCCCTGTATCCTATTATGCAGAAATATGGAATCTCTATTGCTGAAACTGAATAAAAGGGTTATTGCACCAGATCAGCCTTGAGCCCCAGAAACAGAGACCTTGAGCAATCCACTTTGCCCCACCCCCTACCCTCTTCTTCCTCTCTAAAAATCTAGATAATCTTGTGTGCTGTTCATTCAGGGATTCTTTGCCTCCTTTGCTGGTAAGACTCCTTTGCTGGCAAACTTAATAGACCCTAGTTGGTCCAAATTATGTTTCTTGGCCAATTTATTGTTATTCCCATTACCAGCATCAACAAGATCAGAAATGGCTTTCCCAGTATTTCCTGCATTCACAGGTGGACACTGTGAAAGATACAAGAGGACATCCCACACAGTAGGCATGTATTAGTTGTGATTTGCACCACTGAAGAGGGTCCTTCTTGGCACGATCACAGACCCACTGAATTACCTAGCTTTTTGGAATAGAATGCTGCATTCGTATGTCAGAAATAGCTGCAAATATTATGAGAAGAGAGGGAATGGACAGAACAGGAAAGATTCTACATCCTGTAAGAAATCATTTACCCTGTGGCAAACTTCACGAGAACTCTGCAAATGAATGGGATATGGGGTGGGGGTGGGGGAAGAATTTCCAGTCCAAGAGTTAGGAGGAAGCTCTTGGTTACATGTGTCTCACTAACATTGTACTTTAAGTCCCTGTCCACACTCTCCCCAGGGACACTAGGCACACAAAAGAAAGTTTGTGGGGCAATGCTTTATAAATATCGTTCTTACTATACCTTCTAAGTAAATACCTTTCCTAATAGCTTGTGGATGTCTACTAACTAAATGTAAATGATGAGCACATAAACCACAAGAGCTTTAGATACTCCAGTCCTTCCAGGTTACCTTTTGGACACTCTATGTGCCACGGTTGGTATGAGTTGGGCAGTGAATCAATAGGGAGTGCTGCATAAGGTTATGGCCTGAGATAGAAAATGAAAATAGGCAAAGATTTTTTTTTCTCTTTCCTTTTCAGATTGTCATTTTCTTTCTCTTTTCTTCCCTTCTTCCTTCCTTCCTTCCTTCCTTCCTTCCTTCCTTCCTTCCTTCCTTCCTTCCTTCCTTCCTTCCTTTCTTCTTTCCTTCCTTCCTTCCTTCCTTCCTTCTTTCCTTCCTTCCTTCCTTCCTTCCTTCCTTCCTTCCTTCCTTCCTTCCTTCCTTCCTTCCTCCCTCCCTCCCTTCCTTCCTTCCATCCTTCCTTCCTGGTTTCCTTCATTCCTTTCTCCATCCCTCTCCCTTCCTTTCTTTTTTGCTTCCTTTCTTCTTCTCTCTTTCTCTGTTTCTTTTCCTTTCTTCTTTTTCTTCCTTCCTTCCTTCCTTCCTTTGTTTTTCTTTTTTTTTCTTTCTTTCTTTCTTTTTCTTTCTTTCTTTCTTTCTTTCTTTCTTTCTTTCTTTCTTTCTTTTCTTCCTTCCTTCTTCTTTCCTTCCTTTTTCTTTTCCTTCCTCTTTCCCTCCCTCCCCCTTCCTTCCTTCTTTCCTAAAGCTATAATTAGTTTTCATTTTTCCAAATTATAAATAGTGATATAAGCAAGAAAAAAAATCTTTAAATGAAGAATCCTAAAGGGCCAACTATCATTTGTGTTTTCTATAAGTTTAACAGAACATCTTAAACCCTTCTTGATTATGTGGTATATGTCATATAAAAATTTGTTTCAATGTCACATGCATTTTCAAGAAATGATATATTTTATATATTATATTTGTTATGTAATTATAATATTTTATATAATTACATAATATTTGTTTCATCCCTACTCAAAGATTAAGAAAGGTTAATTTCTTGGGAAATATACAACTGAAAATTGGTTATCTTTTCCTCCTTTCTCTAACCCCTTTTCTTTCCTCCTTTACCTCACATTTAAGCAAATACAATGTGTGTGGTGGCTATAGAGAAAGGAATAAGAATGTCCCTTTGGTAGATAGAAGGGAGAACTTTTATCAGATAACTAAGTCTTTGTCCTCTTTCTTTAATATTGGATCTCTGTCACACATGAGTAAAAAGCACAATCAATGAAAAAGTCACTCTCACATTTAATATTCTCTAAGACTTAACCCTGCCACTTTTTGTCCCTTTACATCACTTAAAATTCTTTGAGATTTTGCATAAAAGTAATGGTTTCTCCATGCTACTTCCAAACCTTTAGCCTTGGCATAGTGAAAATGGTGACACATTTGTGCCCAGGCAGGATTGTTGAGGTCAGATGAGATAAATAAATGTAAAGTGATTCATAATATATATATGTGTGCGTGTGTATATATAGAAACATAATATATTAATATAATATATAAATAATAATATAAAATATATAAGCATATTATTATTCCCCTTCTTTTTAAATTCCTATTCATATACCAACTCTTTTTTAGAAGCTTGGTAGCATTTTGAAATGTCAGGCTGCTTTGCAGACTTCTTTC